AGGTTCCCCCCCCCCCCCCCGGTTTTCAAACCTTCTCCTGTGGTAGACACTCTAAAAGGGACCCTTCCTCTCGCTGTCTGCACATGTTTGCCCTAGGCCCTCCGACCGGAGGCAAGGCAACTCCAGGAGGTCGGGCGGCAGCAGCTGTGGCGGCTGCAGCCTTGGTCAGGGCTTTCAGGCAGCCGCAAAGCTTAAGGCCACGGCACAAGGGTGCTTCTGTAGATTTAGAGAGTAGCTAGCACGTAGACTGCAGCACGGCTTTTGCACAGGTTCTCTTCCGTTCCACAACGTGTAGAATGCAAATCTGCCACTGACATTAACGCCGCCCAAAACGGAGTGGTTCCCGCCCTCCTGACTTAGGGAACGACTAACCGTTTACGATTCAAGGCCTTCGGTCTAGAACCTCAACCGAAGTCAAAACTGGAAAAACTCTCCATCATGAAGTTAAAATCAGGTACCTTACAACCTCGACCCTGTCCGAAACCAACAAATCCTTGAAACCCGAAAAATTGAATCTCAAACCCAAGCCTCCCCAGAACCCTGAAACATAAAGTCCAACCCACAAACCCCTGCAACTCCCAAAAGTCCCAAAACAAAAGGGTAAACCCTAAGAAGGACCCTAAAAGGGACCCTAACTCCTAAACCCTAAACCCTAAACCCCTAACCCCTAAACCCTAAAAGGGACCCTAAGTTAGAGAACTACCCAAAAGGAGGCCAGGTCGCTGCGGCTCCTCCAGTCAGGCCCGGGATCGCCGCCGCAGCCTCCGAGGTCGGAGACTTTTAAGGTTTAGGGTTTAGGGTTTAGGGTTTAGGTTCAGGGTTTAGGGTTTAGGGGTTAGGGTTTAGGATTTAGGGTTTGACTCCTCACTTCTCTTTCGTTTAGCAAGAACATATTTGATAAAATATCATGGCTGAGTTGGGCTTGGGTGAGGAATGTGAATTTTGGGCGCTTTGCGAGGTATTTAGAAGTTCAGCTGCTGTCAGGGTTGAAAAGCGGATTGGGTGAGGACTAGACTTGGGGTTTGGGATGGGTAGTAATACAGGGGCCTTAATAGATAGAATAGGGTTTTCGGTATATTGTATTACACCATACTAAGGAACCCCCAAAAGAGTGTGGGTAATAATTAAAGCCCCTTTTTTTGGACCTTAAGGCTTCAGGGTCTCAAGAGTGGGTGTAGGGCTTGAAAGATTAGGGCTCAGGGCTTTTGGCCTGGGCCTTCATAGGTAGAGGAGGGCATTGCCGCCTCTTTTTGTATGGTTATATCTGTATCTATCTCTATATATATATATATATACATGTACTAGTAGCGGATAGTATTCCGAACCTTGAAACCCCCAACCCCAAACCCCCTCTCGAAACCCTAAAACCCTAAAACCCCACACGCCGAAAGCCAAGCTCCCGGGGTCGCTTTACTCTCAAGCCCGCTCTGCCTGGGCCTCCGCCTGAGCGGTCTGCGCCGCAAGCTGGATCAGAACCTGGGGGCCTTGGTGAAAGCAAGGAAAACTGAACTCCATGTATAGTCCGGGTGTTAGAGGGATGAGGGCTTGGGGTTTCGGGTTTAGGGCTTAGGGCTCGGAGGGCCTGTAGTGCCTTGACCACGAGGGTTCTATGATCTGCTTTTGTGGGACTCTATAATAACGACTGTTAACCAAGATCATTGCAAGGGTCCGCATAATTAGACGTAGCAGCAGTCGTCGTCGTCGTCAACGTAGTCGTGCAGTCGTAGTAGTCGTGGCAGTTGTCGTCGTCACGGTCGCAGTCGTCGTCGTAGTAGCGGTGGCAGTAGTAGTTGCTCTTTCATGATCAAAAAGTCCCTATATAAGATGCACTGTAGCACTCCTGCAAGTGACCTCGGAGTTTCAAGCACTGTTTGTCACTGTTCGGTGAGCACTGTCGCCTCTGGAGCTTCAGCGCACCGTGCGCCTGAGGATATGTAGCTCCTCGAGTCTTGGGGGTAGACCCTAAACCCTAAACCCTAACCCTAAACCCTAAACCCTAAACCCTTATCCCTAAACCCTAAACCCTAAACCCTCAGAAATGCATCGTCTCAAGGCCCCGCTCCCCCACGCAACTGCGGGGCCCCGGACTCAAGGAGCCCTCCACAATGCCGCTTACCACCTGCCACGATGATTTCAGGATGGCAATGTCTAACCGTCTCCTCTGCTGGGACAGCACAACGGAAGCCGTTTGCTGGAAAAGACGTGAAGTCAAATCTAATTTCTGTGACTGGTCACGGGGGCTGTCGGTTCCTGTCATAACATCCTGTACAAATCCACTTGTACCGACCTTCTTGCAAACGTCAACCTCTTGCACGGAGCCGATGATGGTGACCTGCAGTGCCAGACGTGCAACTCGACCCTGCATGCTTTGGGCTGGTTCGGGCCCAAGCATTCACAGAGTGCAGAACAACATCTCAAGCCCTCGACCTTCGCCTTGTCCTCCGTGGGCGTGTGCTGCTCGACGAAACAGTGAGCCCTCAGAGATATGTGGCCCTAGCACAGACTCACGAGAGCATTTCGCAAGTCTCAGGGCCGAACTTCGCATAAGTCTTGATGGCGTTGATGGTAGATGCTTGCTTCCCAATCAGAACACCAACCTGTGCAGTGGTGAGAGTGTGCATAAGAGTAGGAATTCCCTCAAAGCAAAGAGGACATCTGCAGCTGGGTCAGCTGCCGAAGTCTGTGGGATTTCCATGGTCTCCTGCGCAGGTGCGAAGAACACGAAGCCACAGACTCCAACTCGAAGTTGCGAGAAAGATTCGATTTTTGAAGCCAAGAGCTATCGAGTAGCGGTTAAAGCATGTGCAACAAGACCCCGAAACCCTTAAACCAATACAGCACGATGATGCTTTGGTGTCCGTGATCTTGTTGGCTGCCGCACCAGCAGCAGCTGCAGCTGCAATCGCCGCGGCGACCTGGGCAATAAGATCTAAGGTAAGGTTGTTTTGCCCTACACTGGCCGCATCTGGGATCTAAATTTTAGGATCACGGTGCCGCAGGTGCCGCTATTTAGATTTTCGGAGGGTTCCGGGTTCAGAAAGCAGGGGTTTCGAGTTTTCCGAGGCGCTTTGGTTCTAGGGTTTTTAGGGTTTACGGTTGAGGATGAACCCTTAATTGAGGGCCATACTGACGACGCTGGCGGAGCGGCGCCGGCAACTGGACTTGTCAAGCTGGCACCTGGCATGTGCACCAGCAATACCATGGACATGTTCGTTTTCCCCGTATTGCCCACGCACACTTGATTAACGCGCGGGTCAGTACCATGTGTTGTGTACTGTGCCTTTTCTTGCCGACTTTTATTGTATACATGTTTTCAATGCCACCATATGCTGTTAGACCTTAGTAGCCTTAGCACACCTTATTTACTTCATTGCAGACCTCGCTCGTGTTAACATAGTAACAACTGCTAATCATCTATTTGCATACCGCTCTTGCAAACTTCACCGGTGACGTCGTCAGATTGCTAAAATCATGACAGGTCTCACCCGTGATCCTAAGGGTGTAGAATTTATTTTGGCCCTTTTTTTTTTTT